ACCGCATATAACAGAGTTTTACTTTTAAATAACTGCAGTATCAACACCTTTGTCTACGAAACATCATTAAAGTTAATTGACCATGAACTAAATCTGTTGAGTTGAGGTTTGAGTTTTATACCTGCTCAAAAGATAACCTCTACAAAAGTTGTGCCTAAGATCATTGCAGGTATAGAACTTGGTATAAAGAAAAAGAATCCGGTTGAGAAGGAACAAATAATTGATGTAACAAGAGATGTACTTGATAAAAGTTTGCCTAAACAAGTTAGGAAAAATATAAGAAATCTTACAGCAAACAGCAAGAAGAAGCAGTTAGAACTTTAAAGAATGGTGAAAACGTAGTTGTAGTATTAGCTGATAAGGGAAGCAAGGATAAAAGTACGTATAATGAAATTAGGAAGGATCCTCGTAATGAAATACATAAATGATTAACAGCTTTATTAAAAGATTTCGTAGACAAAGGTGTTGATACTGCAGTTATTTAAAAGTAAAACTCTGTTATATGCGGTAGATAGACCGAAATTGCATAAGACAGGTATCACTATGCGATTAATTGTATCTATGCGGAATAGCATAGATCCAGAGTTGGCTAAAGTGTTAAGAAAAATATTGAAACCTTTATCAGAAAAAGTTAGATCATTAGTAAATACAGATGATTCCATACCTGAAATACATCATATATCTGTGGGTGGTGAAACCACATTAGCAAGCTTAGATATACTTGATCTTTTTACTTCTATAAATAGAAGAAACTCAATGATAATTTTAACAAAAATGTTAGATGATGACGATTCTTGGCAGGAAAAATTCGATTCTTATCCTGAAAAGTTTATTAACAAACGTATGAATAAAGAAATTAAACTTTCTTCAAGAAAATGGGATAATTCTATATTACAAACAGATAGTTCTATTGTAGTATTATTACCACATGTTAAGAGTATTACGGATAAAGCGAGAAGAAATTTGAGCAAATTTTAAATAAGAACATTTGTTCAACATACTCCGAGTTTAGCTTGTATCGGTTAAACCGGACAAAAATGATAGCATACATGAACAATGTGAATACTGAGGAAGAAGACTTCATATCTAGCTAGCAATGCTGTTTATGGCATACTATGTCAATACAGCCCTTATACAAGAGACACGGTAAATTTAAAAAGAAGATTAGGAGAACGTCATCACAATTTAAAACATGGATATGTAGATCGTTCCGAAATAGCTAAGCATGTTTTAAGTAATGATTGCAATGTAAATTTTTGATCAATATGTTGGTTATGCAAACGAAAAACATTGAACCCATAGAAAAACAGTAGAATCTGTTTTCTCTTGTACGAAAATTTATATAATCATAGAACAGCCATTGTATCATAATGGACACCTACAATTCAAATGTGGTTAAGTAATGTGACAGAGACAAAATATAAAGACAAAGAACAAAACGATATAGTAAAAATAGTAAAGATTAGTAAAAAAAAGAAAACAAGTAGAAGAAAAAAGTCACGTTGTTTCGAGGAGTCAATCTAAATATAAACTTACAGATATTCCGAGAAAAACCTATAAGGAATAGTTGCTACAGAATGTTATGATTTGATTTTATGTTACTGTATGTATTAATCTAATGTTTTATTTTTGGAAACTCATCAGTCAGTTTATAATTTTTAGATAATTTTGTAATTGCTGCTCTCTTATTTTAGACATCGAACGTTGGTTTCCAGAAGAAAACATTTAGTAAATAAACATATAATAATGACTATGTTCTGTTAGTATAAAATAAATATAGTCAAAATTATCAATGATCGCGTCTAACAGTATACATAAGAATTTAGTCTTTACTTTTTAACATCTAGATCGAATAAATAATAATAATAAAATAGGTACTTTCATATAGGTCCACTCATTTTATTTTTTACACGACTGAAAACGGCCGGGATCTTGAGACAGACTTGTTTCTTATTACATGCCATTTGTATACAGCCAGATCTTGATCTAAATATAAGAAAATAACTTTGTTGCCGAAATTTTTCGCCGACAAATACGTTAGAGCGTCCTGTAAAGATTATAAAAAACTTGAGTACGAAATTATACTAACGGAAATGTGAACAATTGATACTTCTGTATCGCTTCTGTAATATCGATTAACAAAAAGCTATGTAAAAATCCTCTAGATTCCTCTCCTGGCGTTCTTTTGATGTTAAACCTCGACATCTGCAGTTATGTCCATTACTCATGGTCATTGGCACGTATGTGTATAAGTTTTCAATTTTTTTTCTATAGCGATAGGCATAGGTAATGGATATGAAAAAATAGAGAGAGTGCAGTTAAAAGCGAACATGCTAGTTTATTGCTTCGTATTAGGGTGTAACCACATTGCGCATCAATTACATATATTTCAAGAAGAATTTTACGTAAGACTGTTCTTTTTAAAATCTTATATTAGAAAATTCTTATTCGTAATTTTGCCTTTCAACTCATCGAATATTATTGATTTACTTCAATGTAACTTATATAATAACTGACGTGGAAAAGGGCCGTTATGCAACTCAAAGACTAACAGCATCATACATAAAATTTGTGTGCATTCATCTTTTCTTTTTCCTCATCCAAACAGAAACAATTAGAAGAAGTAAACTCATCAGATAGAGCTTGAAAATCCGCATCGAATGCATATGCTTTGTTTATTACTCTTAAACTAAATTAGTACAAGAAACATGATTTACAAAAACAGCAAATATCGCCAGAAAACTCAATTTTTTTGAAATTTTTCTTCATATCACATTTCCAGTTTTGTGTTCCTTAGACGCGATGTTTGTCTATCGATAAAAATCATATTGCACTTGTAACACACAGAAAAAAAGCAGAAAATGTATGCAACCATACACAGCATCTATAGAACGCTAAAAATATAGAAAAGAAAAATATATTTGTTGATAACGTATCTTAACAGGATTTTATGAAACACTGTTATGTAATAAGCAAATTTTTGTATGGTCTATGAAAGAAGCGTTATAACAGTTAAGATAAATTCTAAAAGAATTCTGTCTTATAGTTAGTATAAAGGTGACTTATTATTATTTGTTACTGATCGTAAATCCTTTCTAGCCTTATTTAACGAAAGTAAATTGCCGGCCCAAATAGCTACATTACCTCGACATTTATCACTACAGCTATCACTAATAATTCATAATATCTCATTAGATATACAGATGAATTTTTAAAGATGATACAGAAAGATTATCCGATGCAGTAGTGGCATCACGAATTGTCAATAAGGAAAGCAACGACGCAAAAATGGTGCGCATTGACGTAAAGAATGCCAGAATGTGTTATGATCTTAGTCAATCAATAAATATATTACAAATTCAGGACATAAGATAACCAAGCTTTTAGTCCTTACCAAAGTACTAATCTGCTCAAAACGTTTTCATGTTGGTTATTTCAGTCAATATCAGCAAAAATGTCAGACTTGTGAAGTCTGTGGTATGACATGCAATAATATAAAGCAACACATCGAAACATGCTCAAAAGTAATAAAATGTGTTAGATGTGAAGAATAACACGACTCATTAGATGTATGACGTAGCCAAGTTAAACAGTATCGTTCCATACTGACAAAAAATTTATTTATCTCAAAACAATAATAATAACGCTGTTAAATAAGTACCATTTTGCTCTGAAAAGAACCGATTTTCCAACCCTGACAATGTGTTTGGATTCCAAGAATTGGTGCCAATTATGATAATCGTATTGAAAAAATTAGTACACAAACTAGATCGATAACTATATCGACACATGATGAGATGGATAGACTGTATGAAGCAGAAAAAAAGCACGTCAATAAACTAAAAAAATTATCAGAGGTGATTGGTTCATTACAATCACACAATAAATAAAGTTCATGATAATATACACAAAGAAAATTTACTTCAAATTGATGTTACAATGATGAAACCCTTTTTAACCTCTAGTGTATTACGCGTATGCGTATTCGTAGGAAAAAATACTACGCCACAATATGGAAATAATAATAATTCTGAATAGCTAACACAATATATAGCTACATTAGTCAAGAACATTACAATTTGAAAAAAAACTTGGAAGGAAGGAGAAGCCAGGACAAAAAGACATTATTCGCGGAGACGAAAATCTGATGGTTCTTCAAGGTGAAAATGATTAGTCTCTCTCTTCATTCGGTAAATACTGTGAATTCTTGCCTTTCTCCTTTATACCTCTTAACTTTTCGAAAAAAATGCTGTAATTTTGATTTTGAATTTGCTCTTGCAACTTCTTCCTCATTCCTCTCGAATTTTGAGTTTAATATGTTATCTGACATTGTTCGTGAATACCAGTCCATTCCTACACTTGGGGGACGCTTTTCTTATTGGAAGAAAATTATTCGTTGCAAGCTGAACGGCTCCCTCGATAGTCTGAATGTATTGCTTTTTAATGTTAGGAATCTGACAAAATGCTGGTATGCGGTGCTACGACTTTTTGAAAAACTTAAACACAACGGTTTTGCTCGAGGTAGGTGGAACAGATATTAATCTCGTCTCTGAAATATTTACAGGCTTTAAGTATTCCTATCTGATAGATGGATGGGAAGGACTACTTATGATTTCTAAAGGGACGATTCCATGTAAGTAGATTCCTTGTAGTATACCCAAAGTATGTACTGTAGATTTAGATCTTGAACAAAAAGTTCCTATATTGGTATTTATGCGCCCAGACGTAAAACTTGTAACTGAAATAATCTCACTCCGTTATCCTGAGAACTTGTTGCCTTTGAGGAGATTTCAATATTGACCTAGAGGATCCTATGGTAGTATAGTACCAGATGAACTGTTGAAGTGGGTGAATTCTCTCTCACTAGTACCAGTTATACCTGATGGCCCAACATCTTTATGCTCCGAAAGGTTCATTGATTTTGCATTTGTTTGCCCTTAACTCTGAAGGATAGTAGTTTTAGGACTAGCGGTGATCATAAACCTGCACTCTGTATATTAGGATGTAATAGGATAGAAGAAGAATGGGATTGTACGTCTACACGAACTTTATTTCCGTTCTCTCTTTGCTGATAGGAAGATGTACTGTTTACTATCTGATTAAAAGATATCGAGTGATGATCCTCGTTGAGTTGCGTCAAAAGTTACCATGGTTAAGGTCTCTTTCTTTTTGCGGACACGAGCCTATACGCCGGTCTTTTTTGTCTCATTCGCGTCCGCAAAAAGAAAGAGAACCGGTAAAGACCGGTTGACTAGTTCCAACTCTGGTCCTGCCCTGTCGTATGAAATGTCTCGAATCGTGTTTAGTGTCCAGTGTGGCATGTAGTTTATTCAATTCCACCAGAAACACATGTATGTTGTACTTTATTGATCGTTGACAACAAAATTATTTCAGAAAAAGACCTATGCTCCATCCTGCCCTAAGAACTTTGAGACCTCACCCCGTCCTGATTTTCAGATCAGGGCAGGGCGAGGTCGATCTGCACATCTCTATATCAGACCGTATCCTTATATGGATGCATCCGATATTTGTTGGGATAATAATGATGAACCTATTCCATTTGTTACGATGGCGGAGTTATTGAAAGTAGTTGGATCCATAAAGCAGAAGCGTTCAATGGTCTCTCCTCCATCTTTGAGTATCACCCTACCTAATATTGGAGATGTCTTTCACGATTGTTCAATCTATCCATGTCTTCCTTTGTCTGTCCATCGTATTGGAAGAAAGCTAGAATGGTGTTGCTAGCCAAAAAAGAAGCAATTTGTCCAGTAGATGCCACTCGTCCTATATCTCTATTAGATGTTTTTCTTA